AACAACAACAACAACATTAACTAGCTCTTTTAAAGTGACAGTATTAAGCTTTGAAGTTGGTACCTAATCATAAAAATTTGAATATAAATGATGAGTAGAATAACATAAGATGGGATTTCTTTGATAGTTGGCTTGGGAAGAATCCTGAGATCAGCTAGTTTAATTCTTCTAATTTTGATTTAATAGACAGAGTTGTGACTAAATTTATAAAATAATCAAAATTCATACATTTTTGCACAGTTTAGACTTTTCCCTTGAATGCTCCTTTTTGGATTCTTGCGATTAATTTTAATGACTCTCTGTGTCTACGAAATGTGCTTTATTGTCCTGTAACTTTCTTTACAGTGTCTAATTTCTATCTTCTCACTATTCAGCACATCTCAAGTGATTGAAAAACCAGCCACACATTGGATACTCATCTACTTGTTAGAAAGCTACTTGCTAGATGGCCTAGTGGTAAGGAGCTGCATTGCCAACCCAAAGGTAAGCATTTTGAATCTACCAGCTGCTCTGTGGAAGAAGACAGACAATCTCCTCCAATGTGATTTACAGCCTCTGAAAAGTCAGCTTTTCAGAGTCAGTTCCTACTCGTTGGCACACAAGAACACAACAATATTCTTGTTAGTGATTGTCGTTAGCCAGCTACTTGCAGTTAAAAATATTTTCTGAAAATCTACATCATATTGCAAAGATGCCATCATTGTCAGGTGTTATCAATCAGGCTCTAACTCAAAGGACTCTACAGCCAATGCTTCCTTGACTCTGTGCCATCCTCTTTGTAGAAAACTCACAAAGGTTTAGACAAATAACCTTCTGTTTGTGCTACCAGTGCAATCTTTTGAGAAAATGTATGAGAGTTAAAGAAAGATATTGAGATCTTTGGAAGAAAAGATTCAGTAGGGATTTATAATATTTATCATTGTCAGAAATTTATCGTGAAGTGTTTCATGGCATAATGGACATCATCATAGCAATATTCATTATTTCCTTACAGATTGTGAACTCCTGAACACTCATTTTTGAAATAGGAATTATAGAAGCGTAGATGGGACAGAGCAACAATGTAACAGAATTTATTCTCCTGGGACTCACTCAGGATCCTGATGGACAGAAAGTGTTATTTGCCTTCTTTTTTCTCGTCTACATTGCAACGGTGTTTGGTAACCTTCTTGTTTTGGTGACTATTATTATCAGTCCTTCCCTGGGTTCTCCCATGTACTTCTTTCTTGCCTACTTGTCCTTCATGGATGCTATTTATTCCACTTCGATGACCTCTAAAATGCTTGCAGACTTACTCAGTGAAAAAAAGACAATTTCCTTTTCCGCTTGCATGGTGCAGCTCTTCATTGAACACTTCCTTGGCGGTATTGATGTCTTTCTCCTGGTAGCAATGGCCTATGATCGCTATGTGGCCATCTGCAAACCTCTGCACTACTTGACCATCATGAGTCGAAGGGTTTGTGGTCTGTGGCTGCTGGTGACCTTGGTTGGAGGATTTTTGCACTCTGTGGTTCAACTTCTCTTTGTGTACGATCTCCCCTACTGTGGTCCCAATGTCATCGATCACTTCATGTGTGACATGTACCCATTACTGGAACTTGCGTGCATTGACACTTACTTCATAGGCCTCACTGTGATTGCCAATGGAGGTGCTATCTGTATTATTATTTTCACACTGCTATTAATCTCATATGGTGTCATCCTAAGCTCCCTGAAGACCCACAGCCAGGAAGGGAGGCGCAAAGCTCTGTCCACCTGCAGCTCTCACATCATGGTGGTTGTCCTCTATTTTGTCCCCTGTTCTTTCATTTATGTGAGACCCGTCTCAAATTTTCCCATTGACAAGTTTGTGACTGTGCTTTATACAGTTATTACTCCCATGTTGAACCCTCTCATATACACTTTGAGAAATTCTGAGATGAAAAATGCCATGAGAAAACTCTGGGGCAAAAGGTTACCTACAGCTAGAAAAGTGATGTGCGCCCACAGTGGACATACTCTTGGTAACTCTAAAGCTGCCCGAAGGAAATAAACTTCTTCAATGAGTGATTTAGTCAATTCCATGGAATCTTTGGATGTTTTTCTCCCAATTGATGCAAACTGTGAATGCAACTCATTATTACTGAGTCAGAATTAACTAATACTTGACGCCGTATTTGTTTTAAGAGAGTATCTATCGTAAGGGAAGGGATGGCCTGTATTTTTCACAGGGATACACTGATGAATTAGATTGTCAGAGAAGTTAGAAGTGCAACTTCCTCTTAATGCCCAGACATCCAAAAAATTTAAAAAATTAACCTTTGAAGTTAGAATTCATCTACTTGGGAATATCTTAGAAAGCTCTGGTGGCTTTGTGGGAGGGAAATGTGCTTGCTGTCAATACAATGGTATCCAGTTCAAACCCACAGGCTGTTTGATGGGAGCAATATTCTTGGTACAAATTACTGCCTTTGAAAAACTGCTAGAGTCAGCTATGGATCGATCCCAATAACTGTTGCTGAACAAAACAATAAAGCTTCAGTAAAGGCAAATAAATTTTCCCTGTTTATAAATAAAATTAATATTAATACCATCATGTAATTTTCCATAGTATATATTGAAATAGTACTTTAGAAGTATTATTTCCATTGAATAAGAGTAAATTAAGCAGCTTTAGAAAAGTTGCTATCTTTCAAGTAAATGAGAAAAAAACCTGACCAGTAGCTAGACTAAATTTATAAACACAACACATTATTTCCATTTAGATCATTCAAAAATATTGCAATGGGAAACCCAGGTTAGAAATGAGGACAGTGCTGACACTTTGTAGACTCTGCAGTAAATGTAAAAAAAATATTTGCCTATGAATTGTTGAGTGGAAATTTGTTTGCTGTGTAACTTTTCACCTCAAGTATAATAAAATACTTTTAAAAATCTCATTACTATTGAACGTGTTCTGAAGCATAGCTGATCCCCAATTTTGTTTTGAGATGTTAGTCATAGACCAACAGTCATTAATTATATAAAATATATTATATTGAAATAAATGTCTAAAACAAAACATACAAAATTTAAAAATGCATATATATTATTATACATATATGAGTGATTGTGTAAAAAATGCAAATCAAAAGTAAAAGGTGAATTTAAATAGTTTCTAAAACAACAACAACAAAAGCAAAATAAAACAAATTTTAAAGCTTAAAAAATGGTGAATGAGGTATCTCACTCCCTGATTTCAAATCCTACTACACTGCC